CAAAAAATCGCTATTTTTATTGGTTAAAATTAGGGGTGCACTACAATGCAGGTGCACGAAAAACTTAAACCCATAAAAAAAATATAGCATTTAAAAACGGTTTATCTAAAAAAAAAAAAATTTTTTTTTAATAATAAATCGATTTTGAATACATTAACAGTAATAAACTGGTCTATTTAATCATTTTGATTTGCCTCTATATTACTCGTATCTTAAATTATTGTCCAATTACAATGCATCAATGGCGTTCGAAAAGTATTGCATCGACATCTATAAAAAAAAAAAAATTCCAAAAGCCTTATAATTATTTAAAAATTTTTAATGGATTAATTCAACGTAACTTTTTTTTTTCTTTATTACATAAACTCTACGAGGTTATCGGTGGAATTTTCTACACCGAGTTGATCCATTTTTAAGACTTCTATCATTATATAAATCATTTAAAACGTTATTTACTAACAAAAGAATATTTACTGTTGAAAATTTTGCTATCGCCATCGCTATTTGATTGGGCAACATTCACGTGTTGGATAGCTAGCCAATTAAATCTATTTTGTGTTTTACGTTTATTATACTTTTCCATTTTTATACCTTTTGTTTTTCATTGCAACTTTTGTTTATTATAGCTGGTTTATTATTGATTATTAGTACCGTAAAAGCGCGAAATAACGTTCAGGGGCTTAAATTTGAAAATTAGATACCCCTAAAATAGCATATGCAGCTTCAAATTAGCGCCCATGGGCGTCCCGAATTAACGCGCCCTATAAGTGAATATAAAAAAAAAATTATAAAAAAATGATAAATAGCACCGAGCTGGATTTGATATTAAGTAAGTCTATTTTCGGCTTTAACAAAAGTTGTTCTTTAGATCGAGAAGATTCTAGTAAAATCATCAAAAACGGTCCAGTAGTTCGCCTGCAATGGCTCTTCAAAGTTTCGCAACGTTTGTTTACACGATGTAAATAAGGTAAACAAACGTTGCGAAACTTTGAAGAGCCATTGCATATGAACTACTGGACTGTTTTTGATGACTTTATTACCGTTAGAATCATCTCGATCTGAAGAACTACTTTTTCAAAGCCAAAAAATAGGTTTACTTAATAACATACCCAGTCCCGTAGACTTTTCAATTCTTTATAAATAAATACTATCTATTATCTGTTATAATTAAGGGTGTGAATTCAATCCTTATTTCGAAATAACGCACATGCGCGTACTCTAAATAACGCGCAGGTTGGCGTTATTTCGCGCTTGTACGGTATTGTCATTTATTAATTTTTAATATTTAGTATATTTTTAGATCGTTTTTGATGAGTTCAGATTGTTGTTTGTGGGCTTAGGTTATTTTTAGTAGTTTTTGATGGGGTTAAACTATTATTGATGGGTTTACGTTGTTTTTGGTGGGTTAGGTTGTCGTTTTTTGTGGATTTAGATTGTTGTTAGTGGCTTTGATGAGTTTACGTTGTTTTTTGGTGGTTATTGGTGTTGTTGATTAATTGGTGGAAAACCGTCTAATTAGGCATAGGCTTTTTGCATTTCCCCTACTTAAAGTCTACTGGTCCTGTAGAAGAGATCGGTTACGTACCTTTTTTAAAAGTCAAAAACTTATGAGTTAGTGGTTTTGGTGGAAGGAAGGAGAGGGTGGATAAATAGATAGTATAGTATAGTATCAGAGCTCTAGAGGATATGATATTGAATCATTATTGATTCAGTGGAACAACCTACTCCCGGTGGGGAAATTCGGGAGAGATCTGGTTGGGGGAACCTTCCCAACCGATGAGTTACACCTCTACGTGGTGGTTGAAACTAGTGTTTGTGGTAGAATTAATTTGGCAAATTAATATGGTTACGGCATGTGCCGTATTATTTGTCGTAATTACTTTATGCTGTAATGTCGCAACGCTGTTATATTGAAATAGCATAATGCTGTTATATATAAATATTATAATGCTATTGCAGTAATGTGTTAAAAATACTGTAATTCTGCAAGAATATAGGATAACATTTCGGTAATGTTTATAATTTTTAGAATTAAGATAACGCACTGATCTCGTGAATAGATAATCATTGATCATCAAAGTTCGTAGCGAAGATCTTAATTTTTTTTTTCTGTTCTGCCAAGGTTATTTATTATAGCTGGGAGTAGAGTTGGTTTTCGGATTATCCTAAAATAAAAAGACTTGCCTTAAAAATTATCCCAAATTATCTTAAATTGCTCTATATTTTTACTAATGCGAAAGCAATTATCGATTGACGTAAATGCTCAAGCTGCAGATCTACAACGTAGTTTATGATTAAATTGTGTTATATTTCAGTCATAGGTGATGATGGAATAATTATGGTTGGTCATTAATTTAAAGAAATCAGTGTTAAAAAGAATGAACACAAAACGTTCAATTATTATCAAAAATCTGATAGTGATTAATTTTAAACCTTACCAAATTATCTAACTATAATTTGATTTTTATTTAATTCCACTAATATCAATACAAGAATTAATAAATAAGTATTCGCACATATTGGATTATAACGCTGTTTTAGAACCAAATTTAAGTCCTATAATGATGTATATAAAGATCACTGATTAAGTTCCTGGTTTTTGGTGCCTTATACGTATTCATCTATTCCTGGTTTGGCGTGATTGTGTTACATACCGTATTTCTGCGACATTTGTACCCGGGGATATTCCCCTAGTTCATGTCATGTACCCGGGTACTCATGTGGGAGATATACAGTATGAATACTTCTATGTTTAACTATTAAATGCCCGGATATATAAGTATGATATCCTCACACTTATATACCCGGGTATAAATCAAGATTTGGCATCCAAAATCGCCGCAGGGTACAGCCCACAAATAATGCGATACCATAATACTACACAGCTATAACATTTATATAATTATATATAATAATATATAATACAAAGGTATATATATACTATATATATACCCCCGGTATATTATTACGGCATTACGGCACTAAATCCAGGTAGTTTTTAAATTGATTACTAACAAATTTGTAAATTAAAAATCACGTGACGCATATAAATTACTACCTGTCCCCATGCAATCAGGTTCTCCCGTAATTAATTGTAGAATGCCGTAATTCAGTAATTCTACTGTCAACGCTAGTTGAGACAAGTAGGAGAGTTAATTTTCGAAACTAAGTATCTCAAAAAAAATTTTTTTTTATTACACATAGTTTTATAATTGACTTTACTGATTTTATTGATTTTATGAAGTTTTAACACCGCGTGAAAAAATAGATTACTTTAATGCTAAACATCGATATACAACTTTAAAATATAACAACATAGTTACTTTGTTACTCGAGTTTATCTTAATCAGGTTTAACGTATGAAAATAAAACCGGTTCAAAAAAACTGTGGCGATGCCGATATTATATGGATTCCTTAACGGCAGAATTGACTTCATTCTTCTATATATATATATATAGTTTCATACGCAATTAAAAATATTTATATAATACAGCCAATTGTTTGATCACATGTATCGTTAAAAATAGTAAAAACAAATCTCGCATTATTGTTAAAAAAAGTATCTCGACCTTGTGTGTTAAAATGAAATAACTTATATTTTTTTTACATAGTAGTTAATAGTAGTTATATATTTAGAATATTCCTTACGAAACAAATTTGTCTATCTACGGAACAATTGTATATCACTATCGTTATGACCTCATACTAAGTTTAAAAAGGAAATTTTTGGGGCGTCATTTGTAAACAAAGGATAAAAGGTACCAATCAAATTTATCCACATGAGCAATGAATATGCGATTATGCAACCTGTGAGCATTTTTGCACCATTCTTTTTATCGCTCCAACGAGTCTTCCATCTTGAAGTTGGATTACTAACATAAGGAGGCCAA